GTTCTCCAGTAGTGTGTGGAGTGTAACATAACAGTACCCAAATTGCGCCGAGTACCCAAATTGCACCCATTTGACAAAAATAGCAGCGGAAATCTTACAAGTTTTCTTAGAGACCAAACAATTTGTATTTGTTTGATTTGACATCATGCACGTCTTTCAACATAGATAAATATATGATATACACAAAACGTGCATAGTTTATACCAACAGATGAAGTATTCACTGGAAAAAGTGAAATCTACGGTAACGCGACGTCCACAAAAAGTCAACTTTTTAAAATGAGCAATTAAAATATGTAACATGCATCTATTTATTTTAATTAACTATTTCTGGACAGTAACCCAACAATAAGTTGTCCTACTGGTCTGAAGATTATTTGAGTAGATCTTAAATTTTTAACACTTTCACCTATGTCAGTTTTGCTCTTACTGCTTTAGTCTTTGAGATGAAAGCCAAAAACTTCATTTGACCCCTATGTTCTATTTTTAGAAACTGCCGCCATGTTTTTGAATGGATCAAATCCCAGAATACAATCTATAAACTAGATACCATAAGGAACATTTAATTAAAGTTTTTAAGAATTTGGCCAAGTAGTTTCAGAGAAGAAGATTTTTCAAAAAGTAATTCACAAAAAATGTAAAAAAAAACCCGTTTTAAGGGGTCAATTGACTATTTTGATCATGTTGACTTATTTGTAGATCTTACTTAGCTGAACATTTATTGCCATTTATACTTTCTCTCTATCTTTTATAATATTAAAGAAAATAACCAAAAACAGTAAAATTTAATAGAAATAAACTATTTCCAACAGTAACCCAACAATGGGTTGTTTAACTTGTCTGAAAATGTCGTAACAGATAGCTCATGACCCATTTACCACTTTAACTCCCTTTCACTTTTGCTCTAACTGCTGTAGATTTTAAGATATAAGCCAAACACTGCTTTTGTCCACTATGTTCTATTTTAAGCCATGGCGGTCATGTCTGTTGATGGATCAAAACTTCGGATACAATTTACAAACTAGATACCATAAGGAACATACATTTAAAGTTTGGAAGTATTTGGCCCATTAGTTTCATAGTAGAAGATTTTTGAAAACATAAAAGACTTGCACGAAAAAATGTAAAAGATAAACGTTTCAATTGCAATAACTCCTTAAGGAGTAAATTGACTATTTTGATCATTTGACTTATTTGTAGATCCTACTTAGCTGAATATTTTTGCCTTTTACACTTTCTCTCTGTCTATTTTAATATTAAAGATAATAACCAAAAACAGTAAATTTTCATAATTGACTATTTTGATCATTTGACTTATTTGTAGATCCTATACTTAGCTGAATATGTTTGCCATTTACACTTTCTTTCTATCTATTATAATATTAAAGATAATAACCAAAAACAGGAAATTTTCATAAAAATAAACTATTTCGGACAGTAACCCTCTGCACAATGTGTTGTCCAATTGGTCTGAAAATTTCATAGCAGATAGATTTTGATTTATTCATCACTTTAACACCATGTCACTTTTGCTCTAACTGCTATAGTTTTTGAGATAAAAGCCAAAAACTGCAATTGACCCCTATGTTCTATTTTTAACCATGGCGGCCATGTTTGTTGATGGATCAAATATTCGGATACAATTTATAAACTAGATATACTAACGAACATTCAGCTAAAGTTTGAAGGTATTTGACCTAGTAGTTTCAGCGGAGAAGATTCTTGAAATAGTATACGATGACGACGACAGATGACGACGGATGCCAAGTGATGGCATAAGCTGACATGGCGCTTTGGGCTAGGTGAGCTAGACAGGCCTTTAAAGTGAGGGTACCTGTAAAGTGTGAAACGAAATAGAAACGGAACGGAACAAAACGAAACGAAATAACGCAGTACGAAACGAAATACAGCAAAACGAAACGAAATGAAACGGAAGAAATATTTATTTCATAATTTTAACTTAAATCTCTAACAAATGTCTTATAATACAATATGTTTGTGTGTTGCAGAGTTTGCATGCATCTGAATTTTATGGTTTAGTTGGAACAAATCAAATAAAACCGACAGAGGGGCGAACGTTTATTTTCAGGGGAAAGGGGGGGGGGGTTAGGGGGGGTCGTACATACCGATGCGTACTGCCTAAGTGTTTTAAGTTTTCACCCGTCGTTTTGAATGATAAAAAGTTTTTACGGTAGAATATTACCCAAGAAAGAAAAAAGGGGTGGTACACCTGAGATAAATAATATAAATGAGACTATATTTCAGAACTGCATGGGATATTGAGGACACGCACGTGGATCTCAATCTAGATTTGGGGTTCTATGACTAAATGAAGGTATACATAGACGTGCTGCTTAAATGGGCCCCCTTTTTATATATTAATGGCATACACTGAATTTCACTAAGGTCAAATAGCAATGGGTCAGTAATTTTTATCATCCGAATTATAATAGATGTTTGTTAAATGCTGTTTTATCGTTTTTATTTAAATTAAGATATCAAAACTTGTACTTGGATGGAGAAGGTTGTCTCGTTGGCACTCATACCACATCTTCGTATTTATATTTTAAAATATTTTATTACTGAGAAAACTATGAATGGGTCATGATTTTTTCATCGGAAACATATTAAGTGTCGTGATTTTTTCTCAAGGTTTTTATTTATGAAATTTTTGGTGTTTTCCCAGCTGCACTACTGTACCCAAAATCCCATGATTAGATCGACCCCCACTCCCCGTGATTGAGAAATAACCTTCATTAAATGAGAGTAGCTTGAAATATTTTGAAGCAATCTATTTCAATCCTAATATTATTGAATGTTAAAAGTTTTGGGCTAAACGTTGGGGAAGTTTTTTTTATATCATTTGCGGATTTACCTGAGACATAAAGAGATATGATCGTGCTACTTATAATGCCCCCTCCTTCACGTACTGTTGCACCAAAAATAAACAGAAAATGAAAATAAATAATTGAATTTGACCTTTTAACAAAATCTGTTATTTCACCCCCAAAATATTGAGAATTAAAGTTTTTGATGCAACCCCCCCCCCCCCCCCCCTCAGCCCCACCCCCACCCAAGCGCCGAAATTATAATGGTGGACTCATAAAATAATCGGGTTTGACAGCAAATTACCATATGTTGTCATGAAATGTAAGCTGTTGAGTGCCAGCCGGTTTTTCAGTTTTTTTTTTATACACTATGCGGCATTCTAAGTTCCTTTGATGTTTTAACAATGAGTTTCTACAAATCCATTTGAACTATAAAGTTCCAAGGACTTTAAAGGATTCTTGTTACTTTAAAGTTTACAGTGCGAAAAAATCTCGTGCAGTTCGATTTCGCAAGACTGTATAAAAAACCGTTGCGCGACCAATTTTTATTCATTTGATTTCAAAGCCTGGAAAAATGACGGAGCGGATTGACTTTAATGAAACAATCATCTATGATTATAGTTCGATAAGTGTTTGTTTTTTATTTTTCAATATCTAAGTACATAGACCAAGTTGATGTTGGGAGGCTTTCAGGCTTAGCCTATTGTCGCTATTCCAGTCGTCTTTTCGTCCGTCGTCATCCGTTACTTTTAAAATATCATCGGTGCAGTTGAAACTTATCATACTTATGACACAGACTATGTAAAATAACTATGTACTTAGATTTCGTCGACCAACTAGAATGTCGCCCTCGCCGTAAATAAAAAAAGATAAACGATGAATCTATGTCCGTAAACGGAAAATACTATAGTTCATTATTTCCTAACAATGCGCAATTTACTACATCCATGTCTAAATTCCAGGATTTTTTCAGTATACGGACATGGATAGTAAATTGCCTACTGCTAGGAAGCAATGAACATAGATTTTTCAGTATAGGACATGCATATTAAATTGCATATTGCTAGAACACAATGAAATATCCGTACCAATGTTAAAATCGTAATACAAATAGACATGAAATACGAAAAAAGTTCAAAAAGCATTGCATAAAAAATATATCCGCAAAACGTAAATACATTTATAAAGGTGTATATCACATATGTTTACATCATTGTTGTTTTCTGACCTGAAGAATTCTCATAAAACTTTTCTGGTGCATCTATCTCCTCTATATGTTATATTCGTATTTAGCAGTATGTGCCAAAAAAAAAAAAAAAAGAACAACCACTTATAAAGTAACTATCTTAATTAACTCCGAGGTTGAATCAACTATGGAATACCGGTATGTATTGATGACCTGCTCGTTAATTATTGCCTTATTGAAAAATATCACTGAAAAGTATGTTAGTGTGGTCGAGTTGCTAAATGCTGTATACCATATATGACAGAAACGCAACATGAAATTTCATTGAAATGTAACCATTGTCTTAAAAGCAAAGAATAGTATGCAGTTAAATAGTTACAAAATGTTGATTATGGCTACTCAAATGTTCCTAAGCCGCATTTTTCTTCACCAGCAGACTTTACTATAGCTATATACAGTATTTTACTAAGTGTACGCACACTCGGCGAAGGAAAGGAGATTTAAACCCAATTCATATATATCAGTTCACACCAGAGGCGGATTTAGGGGGGGGGGGGGCAGGGCCCCCCTTTTTTGGGAAAAATTTGGTTGATTATATAGGGAATCACTGAAGCATGACTAAAGCGGGCCCCTCTTAGGCAGTCAGTGGGCCCCCACTTATGAAAATTTCTGGATCCGCCACTGCACACTGTCTTACATATAAAGACATTGCGCGGGGACATTTATGTTGAAATTGTATAAAAAAAATATTTGTCCTCAATGCATTCTCTGTGTATGTGTATTAAAATACCTTACTAGGAGTATTAGCAACATATGATAATTGAATCATTTGAAACCTTTCAATTATAATCAGAAAAGAGAAGGGGGGGTCAAAAGTTTTTATGTAGATGAAAGGGGGGGGGGGGGGGTAAAATTTGTTAACACATTTTGAAAAGGGGGGGGGTCAATCGTATTTTATCATTTCAAATTTACATTTTGCAGCCCCCCCCCCCCCCCCCCCCCCCCCCTGGAGATAAATAATGACCGGTCGATTAGTTTCGTTTTGCTGTATTTCGTTTCGTTTTATTCGTTTTGGGCTATTTCGTTTCGTTTCTCCCTTTCTATTTTGTTTACGGTTTCGCAATTGACAGATACCTTAAAGTGATCACGATTTACAGTTTTTGATAGTTTAAGGATGTTTGTTGCTCCTCTTGTTTTTGAAGTTTTGCCAGATTTTCGGAATCCTCTGGTTTTATCCATGTATTGCCATTAAAAAATTTTGCCAACTAACCCCTACTTTTCTTTTCATAATTTTATTACATATAGTTTAAAAAAAAGCCATATTTGAAAATCTTATAAAATTCTTGTTATTTTTTCATAGTTTTTGAAACAAAAAAGCGGCCAATGTTAAAAGTATGAAAAATCTAGAGAGAATCATTTCCCGCCAAATTTTCAATGGCTTATATCTCGAAAACAAGCACACGGACCCATCATTTTTTTCTGCTTTTTTAGTTCCTTTATTTATATACTATCATTTTAGAACAGTCTTTTAGAAAGCTTGTTATTTTGAATCAGAGTAGCGAACATCCTTAATTGAGGGAATTTCCATACAAAGTTAATATAGACTGTCCCTGTTTAATTGTACAGTACAGTACAATTGATAGAAGAGCTCGTATTCATCGCCTCGTTGTGACTTTTAAACTTCCTGGTCTTCTCAGAATATGCTGTCCATTGATGCTGTCAACCTAAAGCTTTAAACCAACAAGAAATTAACAGGTCAGTTTTATTCGCTCTGTTATGTCACACTCTTGTGGAGAAATGACACTCCTTGCCGCTCCATAATTTTTAGATTTTGTTTACGTCTTTTTGAACGGGACAGTTACACCATGTACACAGGTCGGTCGAAGTTTTAACTGTTATAAAAAATAATTTCCGGGTATCAATTCTTCTGCTTCTAAACCAGGATCATGGACGGTCCTATTAAAAAGCGCCCGGGAGCGCCCGGGTGAAGAAAAAGCGCCCGGGGAAAAGAAAAAAGCGCCCGGGGAAGAAAAAAAAAGCGCCCGGGAAAAATATATAGATTGTATTGGCATGAGACAACTTTGTGTCGATGAAGTAAGTTATGCACATTGATTTTTTTTTGTCGAGCCTGCGACTTTTGTCGCAGAAAGCTCGACATAGGGATAGTGATCCGGCGCCGCCGCCGGCGTTAGCTAACTTCTTAAAAGATTTATATATTAGAAGGTGGAAGACCTGGATGCTTCATACTTTATATATAGATGCCTTATGTTACGAAGTTTCCGTCTGTCACATGTCCATTGTCCTTGGCCTCATTTTCATGGTTCAGTGACTACTTGAAAAAAAAGTTGAGAAATTTAGCTCACCTGGCCCGTAGGGCCAAGTGAGCTTTTCTCATCACTTGGCGTCGGTCCGTCGTCGTCAGCTTTTTACAAAAATCTTTTCCTCTGAAACCACTGGGACAAATTTAACCAAACTTGGCCACAATCATCATTAGGGTATCTAGTTTAAAAACTGTGTCCGATGACCCCGCCAACCAACCAAGATGGCCGCCATGGCTAAAAATAGAACATAGGGGTAAAATATAGATTTTGGCTTATATCTCTGAAACCAAATCATTTAGAGTAAATCTGACAGGGTAAAACTGCTTATCAGGTCAAGATCTATCTGCCCTGAAATTTTCAGAGAAATCTGACAACCTGTTGTTGGGTTGCTGCCCCTGAATTGGTAATTTTAAGGAAATTTTGCATTTTTTGGTTATTATCTTGAATATTATTATAGATAGAGATAAACTGTAAACAGCAATAATGTTCAGCAAAGTAAGATCTACAAATAAGTCGTCATGACCAAAATTGTCAGTCGACCCCTTTGAGAGTTATTGCCCTTAATAGTCAATTTTTAACAATTTTTCGTAAATTTTTGTAATCTTTTACAAAAATCTTCTCTTCTGAAACTACTGAGACAAATTTAACCATACTTGGCCATAATCATTATTAGGGTATCTAGTTTAAAAAATATGTCCGATGACCCCGCCTTTCAACCATCATGGCCGACTTGGTTAAAAATAGAACATAGGGGTAAAATGCAGTTTTTGGTTTATAAATATCTCTGAAACTAAATCATTTAGAGCAAATCTGACAGGTGGGAAAATGTTCATCAGATTTAGATTTATCTGCCCTGAAATTTTCAGACGAATCCGACAACCCGTTGTTGGGTTGCTGCCCCTGAGTTAGTAATTTTGCAAAAATTTTGCAGTTTTTTGTTATTATCTTATCTTATCATTATAATATCTAATATCTAATACTATTAATTATGATTTTAACCTTATTTTACATGATTTCCAAAGCATCAGTAAATACAGGTGAGCGACACAGGCTCTTGAGAGCCTCTAGTTTGTAATTTCTCTCTTATTATGAGTAATAGGATAACTATATTTGGTATGTGCGTACCTTGCAAGGTCCTCATGCCTGTCAGACAGTTTTCACTTGACCTCGACCTCATTTCATGGATCAGTGAACAAAGTTAAGTTTTGGTGGTCAAGTCCATATCTCAGATACTATAAGCAATAGGTCTAGTATATTTGGTGTACCATTAAATTCGTTAAATAAGCCGCAGGTTTTTTTCTCTGTCATTGTCCCTGCGTGTTATACTCAGGTGCGCTTTGTGTATGTATTTTTTTCAGTTTCAGGGCAAGCGTGAAAAAAAATATATATCTGGATTTTTTTTTATGGAGACCGTCAGATTGTCAAGTGCTTGCAGTGACTTGATAAATTGTTCATGTGGCATATTTTGTTATGAATAAAAATATATATACTTTATCATTTGTTCTTTATTTCATTGTTGGCTTACAAGTTGATAACCATGTGTTTATTACATAAACAAAGAAAGATAACCGTGTTTGAAAGAGGTACCATACAGGATATTAATTGTGTATTTACAATAAATATGTAATTGTTTGTTGTTGTAATGTGTTTTTAAATAAAATCTTCTTTAGAAATAATAAAGGTAGTGATTGTGTTTCTTTCCAATATTTCAAGTCTCTTTTAATGACGATGGTGATAACCATGTGCTGAAATGAACCCTTTAAAGTGTTTCATAAACAAAGAAAGATAAGCGTGTTTGAAAAGAGGTACCATACAGGATATACTATTGAGGAGTAACTGTTTATTGTTTTATTGTTTCAAAATGAAATATCTTTATGAAATATTGTAGCCACATATTGGTGTAAGAAATAAAAAAAATGAATATTAATTTTCATAATTCAATATGCTAAGACATTTATATATTGCGGCCATCTTATTTGAATTCCCCTTTCCGTGGCCCATCTCACTTTCAGTTAAAAATAGACAATGACTTGCAGAAACTGAATGGTTTTGTTGTAGTTTTCAACCAAGTTTAAATTGAAAAATGTTTGTTACTTATAAAACTTAAACTTTTATTTTATAAACAACAATAAAATTCTTTAGATTTAATTTAATAATTTTTTTCCCTGACTTATGGGTGAACAGTTTTCACACGTGGGTACAGGTAATTAAGTAGGTCATAATCAAGGTAAACAATGGCAGTTTTATGGCTTGGGTAACTTTTAATGAATACCTTTTCAAGATTAATTTAAATCCTTGATTCCAATTCAAACAATAAATGAGCAATCAACACCGAACTAATTTTAATCAAAACAACAAGGTTCAATGGACACCCAAGCTGTCAACACATGGCCATTGTTGACAAAAAACAACTAATGAATCTGGCATGATTAAAACAATAAGAAAATTATAATAATTTTATTAACATTTATTTATTTTAATATGAAACAAATAAATATATACAAAATGTCTTTCAACTTTCTCAACAATCTGAAAATAAAAATGAAACATGTTACGGAGTGAGTTACAAGAAGGAGTGAACATTCATTACGCTAAGGTCAGTAGAATGCATGTACGTTTTCTTCAGGGTGCGCTTTATATGCAGGTGCGTTTTATGTAAGGAAAAAAACAATCCTCACCCCCAAAAACGGCCGTGCGCCTTATTTAGGGGTGCGCTTTTTAATCCGGAAAATACGGTATACATTTTTAGAAGGATTGTAAGGTGTACATGTCCAACTGGCAGGTGTCATCTGACCTTGACCTCATTTTCATGGTTCAGTGGTTATAGTTAAGTTTTTGTGTTTTAGGTCCATTTTTCTCATACTTTATGCAATAGGTCTACTATATTTGGTGTATGGAATGATTGTAAGGTGTACATGTCCAACTGGCAGGTGTCATCTGACTTTGACCTCATTTTCATGGTTCAGTGGTCAAAGTTAAGTTTTTGAGTTTTGGTCTTTTTTCTAATACTATATGCATTAAGTCAACTGTATTTGGTGTATGGAAACATTTTATGATGTACATGTCAGTCTCGCAGGTTTAATTTGACCTTGACCTCATTTTCACGGTTCATTGCTCAGTGTTAAGTTTATGTGTCTGTTTTTCTTAAACTATAAGCAATAGGTCAACTATATTTGTTGTATGGAAGGATTGTAAGCAATTCATGTCTGCCTGGCATGGTTCATCTGACCTTGACCTCATTTTCACGATTCATTGGTCAATGTTTAGTTTTCTTGGTTAAGTCTTAGAAACTATAAGCAATAGGTCAACTATATTTAGTGTATTGAATGATTGTAAGGTGTACATGTATTTCTCGTTTGGTTTATATGACCTTGGCTTCATTTTCTTGGATCATGTTAAGTTTATGTAATAGTTGTAGTAAAGCTTTCATTTAGGAATATCAACATAATATCAATGGTTAGTAAAGAAGGCTAGACATTTCAGTGTGTGCACTCTTGTTTAATTTGAGACCAGTATTTTGCAATTTCAGATAATAGACATTTGTAATAAAGCACAAAAAAAAGTATGAATGTTTCAATTTTAACAATAATATATGAATACTATTTCGAAAGACAGATAATAATGGATCACAGTTTATGCTGAAGATTTATAAAATGTTAGACATCAAAAGACATGTTTTTCAAAAACGATATCAAAATGACCTCAATTTCAAGGTCATAAACCAAGGACCATAAATCAAAATACCTTAGGTCTTTATTAGATATGGTTAACGAGTTAGATCACCATACACATAATTTTACCTATAAAAGGGGAGAAAACTGCCATTTCATGTCAACATACACTTTCAACTAAAACTGAAGTGTAACGACATGTCGCAACTAACAATGTAGTAAAGATATTTTGTCGTTATCTTATATGGTTTTTGAAAAGAAGTGAAAATAAGCCAAAATCAAAGTTTAGAATGTGACCTTGACCTTATTTTCTTTTTTTTGGACCAAGGACCTCAAATCAATAGATCCTAGATCTCTATCACTTATGGTTTACCAGTTACAAATGCATATCACTTATATCCAATGCATAAGGGGAAATAACTCTCATATGGAGTCTCCGGAACGCTTCGGTCCAAACCAATCTCAACATCCTGAGGATATAACGAGCAAATTGGTAAAATAATTTTGTCGTTATCTGTACGGTTGCGAAGGAGTAGCAAACACAATAAAAACAGTGATCGGGGAGATACTCCTTACAAAGAAAAGTATTCGGTTAAGCAGGGTCAGTTTTGAAAGCGCATAAACGGTTTGATATCATATACCAAACATCAAATCAACATCTTGGGAAACAACCAAACAGTGAAAGAAATAAAATTAGGCAGAAGAAAAAAAAAAAAATCAAATGCTTTAAAAAAGCAATTGTAAACGGTCTTTCCCCCTTTGA